CTCTCTCTGCGGGCACTAGTCTGGGGACAGGAGCCATTGGGATCTCCCTGATGTTGTTTCACCTGCCTTACTGGGTGGGGTCCAAGGCAAAGTCCCATGCTTACTTCCCTGTAGTTGGAGTCTTGCTTTATATGTGTTGCCAGAGATGTAGGAGGGATCATGGAGGCAATCCCTTGGCCACCAAGCTAATGTCCACAGGCAGGGGCCATGGGGACTCTGGGTTTCAAGTCTAAGGCCTACAGTTAATTTTCTCTCCTTCTCCCAAGTGGGAGGCATCTCTTTCCATGTTGTGCTGCTTAAAGTTGAAGGATGGTGACATAACCAACCCTTTCCTTCCTGCTTTCTTCAGGGTGTCTCTTGTGTTAAAACCAGGTACTGCAATCTCTCATCGGATTTCCTTAGCTCTTGTGAAGGCAATTTTGTATGTGCATAACTGTTTAAATAGATGTTTCTGTGGGGAGATGACGGTTGGGGGGCCTTACTGTACAACTGTTTTGCTCTCCTTCCTAAACCTCTGTATAAGTTTTCCAGCCTCATGTATTTTGTTATAAAAATACAAAACAGACTAATATAGGTCCTCTGGAGCTGGACCACAGGAGGCTGCCACAGGACCACTGTACAATGCCCAGCGTCCACCTCCCAGGTGGAGCCCTTTCCCAGGGCTTCTGGCAATTCCAACGCACAGAACCTACGGGGTCTGTGTCAAGTTTTGGGGAGCAATGATATTCTCAGAGAAAAATTGTGAAGAGTATTCTGCTTTAGAAAGAGGGCTGGATACTGTTAGCACCTCCAGCATACAGGAAGGTCATGCTGCTGAAGTTTGAAAAGTAGAATTACAAAGAACAATTCTTTTGAAAATCTTTCAGAACTTTCTCACAGAACCTTCCAATGGGTCTCCAGGGTACCGTTTTCCACTATCCACCACTCAGGTCTCAGGCCCTTAACAGACCCTCCCTCCCTTCACTAGAGGTTTCTGTGGGGGTTGAGGAGAGGGGAATTAATTCCTGTTTCACTTCCCTCAAGGATACAAAGTGTGAAATCCAGAGGGTCCTTCTCTTGTTCACAGTGTACTCACAGGGGGCTGACAGTACCAGGGAGGATCAGCCCAACAGGCAAACATAGCCTTTTCTGTTTATAACCAGGTCAGCTTCACAGAACAAAAGCCTGGACTCCAGGCAGCAAGACCCTGTCTGTAGTCACAGTGGGCAGGAGGTGGCCTATTAGGGAAAAGACATGATCCTCCCCAACAAGGTCTGTACCTGTCCTGAAACAATAAGACACTCAGCGGGGCCAAGAGATGAAGTTCTTGTTTATTGTTGCAGCAACTCTTATACAGACATTAGCGTTCAGTTAAATAAAGGAGATAGCACATTAAATACATCACAACCCCAAACCAGACAACTGCGGCCACGGTACAGAGAAGGGGAGGGAGGGCCAGGACCGGTGACCAGACTGTCAAGAGGAAATACATTCAGTGGGTGTGCGGTGTCAACATTCCAGGCTCACGTGTAGATATATTTTATTTATATATTTATTTATATTTATATATAGAGATCATTGAGTTTTGTGTATACAAAGAACGATATTGTTACAAATACAATACTTCTCCCGACGCTTTACAGTAAGCTCTATGCACCCTCTTTACTGAATGGGAGTACAAGTTCATACTCTAGGTGCGGTGCTAAGTATGTACAAGAGATTTCATTCCCACACGGTCCTCACACACTGCCTTGATGGAGGGGGAAATAAAATCAAGGGTTGAGTGCTCAAGTGGACTCCAGCAGGGAAGGAGCTGATGGAGGTGAAACTAACCAACAAGTAGCCTGGTGAAGGTGAGAGTTGATACATCAGGACGAGGCGGCCCTTGGTTGTAAACATTGGTAATGGCCACACCACTGGGTGGAGAGACCCAGGAAGGGCTCTGCAGGTGGGTGGGTTTTCATTAGCTTGCGACAGGGAGCGTTGGGTGTGGTGGGGGTGTAGAGGGAGGAGGAGCAATGGGGGAGGTAGTAGGTTACTCTGGACTCCCTGAAGGCCAGTGTTGATGGGCAATGTTCAGAAAGCAAGCCTGTGCACAGGGACAAGGTGCCCTGGGATGTGCTCTACCCCTGCTGAGCGCACTCTGGAGAGGGAGGAGGGGATCCCCTGGGAAATGGGCTTCAGGCATTGGTTTGGGGGGTTTCTTCCTCTCATGACCCAAGGCTGATGGTGGGTGGCTCCCTGAAAAGTCCCCATTGGAGAAGGCAGAGGCAGGGTGGATTTTGGTGCATCCTGGGAAGACCAGGAGGAACAGGTGAATCTGGGAGCCCGTCCCCAAAGCTGAATCACTAGCCTGTCCCAGCACAGTGGCCAGAGTGGCTAGGGTAATTTTGTGCCTTGCATTTTGGGGACAGGCTGCTCTGCACGTACATCATCCCTGCTATGTGGGTGCTGAGATATTTACACATGTAACTACACACATATGGGATGTCAGAAGGGAAAGAGACCACCACCTCTTTTGGGACTTTCGGACACAGAGTGACTAACACTTGAGATCCCATTTCTGAGGTTAACCACAGGTAGGCTGATGTTAGCAGAGGAAGAACACATTTCAGCGAGGCGGGCCTGTACCAAGCTCCAACAGCTTCCACTCGGGTGTGAGGAACCACATTGATTAGCACAACAGAAAGTGATGCAGAAATACTCTTACTCTTATGCTAAAATACGTGAGTCCTCTAGAATAGCTTACAAATTGGCTTTTCAGCACCTCTTGAAGTTTCCAACATTTTTTGTGCAATAGGAATAGAAAGTATTTTCTCTTTCTCTCTCCTTAGGATGAAGATACTTCACTGTAATTACTTAGGGGTTGGGCAGGGATGTGCTCCTGGAGTTCCCATCCCGGGCCAATTGCAGGCAGGTCTCTCTGGTCCTATCTAGGAGCTTGGGCAGGTGCCCCAAGGGGCCACCCTGGGGACAGACTGGCAAGAGCCCTTCCAATGATTTTCCAAGGCTTCTGCTGTCTGAAATGTTGATAATGCTTCATTCTTGTTCTACCCACTGTCTCTTCTGGCATGGCAGAGATGGACTGCTGACTCTTTAGTATTTAATTATAATACTAGACTCTCTGAAATTTGATTATTTTAGGAAAGGCAAATAGAATTAGGACTGGGGTTCCTGATCCTCACGTTTATGGTGGGTTGACCTTGGGCTTGTCACCTGGCAGCATTCTGTTAAGCATCCTTTAAACAAGTCCAGGGTCCTAGATCACCCATCCTGGCTCCCATGGCCCCACCCAGCCAGTGCCCCACAGCAGTAGCAGCTCCTGCCTATATAGGACTTGGGGGCAGCCGGTGGCCACCCTTCATTGGGGCTTTTTTATTACAGTAAAACAGAGACTTCAGCTGCTGACTTCTTTCAAACATTTGGATTTTCTGATTCTTAATTCAGAAAACTCAAAGTCCAGGAAGTCCAGGAGGTTGGATGACATTGTTCTCTGGCTGAAGTCTCATATTTCTAAACTTGTTATGATCACTTTTCTCCCTTAAATCCCTCTGTTCTCTAGATAAATACATCCTACCTAACATTTGATCACTGAATTCCTATTTCCACAGACACAACATAAATATCCCAGATGCAGAGAACAGGGGTTATATTAATATTACAAAATATATTAGTTTTTCTTCCCCTGTCTCTACTGAGGTCATGAATGAAACAAAACGAAAACAAAACCAAGTCACACCCCACATGGAAAAAAAAAAAAAAAGAAAGAAAAAAGCTCTTTGGACCAAGAATAAGTGAAAACTGGCTCAGAATAATATTACTAAAACATCCACACTGAACTGAGACAGAATCCAGAAGTGTGGGGCACCTGATGCAAACACGACATTCCACACCAGCTGAAAGCTCCCTCAGACCCACCAGGCAGGGAGATATTTCCAGAACACATTTGGGGATTCTTAGGCATAATCTGAGGTCATTACTGACCCCTTAATTTTGTGGTTTATGGGCTATTCTGGCCTTTCAGGTATCACATCCTGCCTGGTGGTCCTGATGACTAGGAGGTTGGTCTCACCTGGGGCCCAGAAACATGCCATCACTCTCTTCTAGGAGGATAGTACAGCCTTCCCAGCCTCCCTTCCCTGCCTCCTTTCCCTACCTCCCTTCCCCGCCCCCATGTGTACAGGGGTGGGGGAGTCCGAGAAGACACTTTCAGTCAAGTGGTATCAGGAGGACCAGGCCTCAGCCAGAGACGGCATCTCTCTCAGGACAAGGCTGATTGGACTCTGCATGCCTGACCCCCTGCCAGGGCAAGGGGTCTCCCAGAGAGGGGCTGTGGGTTTCCAGGGGCTCTGTGTGCCAGATTTTTAGCTTGCCTTCCTGGTGGTAGAGAGCAGGGCAGGGCAATATGCATGTGAGATACTGTGAGAGCGTGTGTGTGTAATATACGGAGAGGCAGATGGCACCTGCCTGCATTATCTACTGACCAGTGACTTCAGGGCACCTGGCAGAGCTTCAGTTGCCTGGTGAATTGCCGCGCTCTGCAGTGCCAGGGCAGCCTATCCAAGGCTGTCACTTCTCCCTTTATCCTTATGTGAGGAGGCCTGTATTAGACCACATGTATATGTAGAAACTAAAACTACCTATGAAAGAGGTTGCAGGTTGGCTCAGAAATTCTGGGTGGAGATAACATAGGGGGCCCCAACTGCATGGTGGACAGTGCATACCTTTGATGTGGGATGGTCCCTGTTCCTGCCTCATTCCTGTCAAGAGATAGGAAGAGAGCAGAGATCAACAACTGAGTTTTAGGCACTGCTGAGGGAGCATCTGCACTGCCCCTGGGAGTTCCTTCTAAGCAGTCTGTGCCTCTTGGGGTAGGATGATCCCCCTTGGGCAGTGAGAGCCACCTTGGGACCCTTGAAGGTCCCATAAGATGGCCCTGGGCATATCCCTGATGGACGAGGGCTGTTATTTATCCTCAAGGGAGCACATACAAAACTTTCCTGATTTTAAGGGGGGGGGGGGGAAGCAAACTGGAGAGAGAGAGAGCAAAGAGGTCCTTGCGGATTCTTCTCTTCCTGTGTAAGACCAAATGCTGGGCGTGAGAGGAAAATGTCTCAGCGGACACACGGATGCAGCACAGAAACACAACCACGATGAGGAGAGTCCTCCATGCAAGCCTCCGCGAGGGCGAGCCAGGCACGCTCAGATGTAAACGGGCTGCTCCTGGGCCGTCAGCAGTCTGTACATGGCCGCTGGCATCGTCTTCATGTGGATCTGAGGGCAGAAACGCATGTGAGCATGGAGCGGAGGGGAGAGACGAAGCCTCCTCCAGGGAGAGGCTTCCAGGGTACCCACCCCAACAGGGACCGGACCCAGAGTGGCCCAGGAAGAACAGAACCCACAGGCTTTCTGTAATGCTCAGGGGTGATGTGAAGTGAACAAAGGAAACCAGAGAAGGCTTATTTTCCCAGTCCAATATTTTCATTCTGATCAGTCCTTGGCAAGACAGAGAACCTTTCAAATGGAAGGAAAGTGATTCGGCTTCACGGCTCCTGTCTCCTTTCCACCCTTGGCATTAAGAAAGCAACAGCCAATTAGCCTCAGACCCGCAGCCAGGGCTTCAGGAGAGCCACTGTGTGGGTGCAGCTTGACTCTAAGGGTTAGGTCTGCCAAGCACATTTGCAGAGAATAATGGGGGAAAATGGAGAAAACTTGGGAAGCCACCAACAGGAAAACTGCCACTCTGTGTGTGGAAGAGAAGGTGAGTGGTGACTTGACTTCAAACTGTTGTGGGGGAGCCCTCAGACAACCTCTTCGACAATGGGTTCAACTTTAGGTCTAAGATGGTTCCAGGTATTGAGGGGAAGGGACACATAGGAAGGTCCCTGGAAGGACTATGGGGATCAGGGTCAGCAGGATGCAAGGGGTACCAGATGGCTCCCTCAGCCCCTTCCCCAGCCCGAGCCTCCCTCCTACCTCCCCAACAGCATTGGAGAGGATGTGGACTATCTTCTCGTGCGGGGTGGCCACAACGCTCTGTCCGTTGATTTCAATGATCCGATGTCCCACGCGGACGCCTCCCCTCTCAGCTATTCCCCCTCGCATGAGGCTGCAGATCTACCAGAGCCAAACACCAGGTTACTCCTTGTGGGCAGCATCATGTCTCAGATCTCCATGGGGTCAAAAGACTCTCTTCCCTGGGACCCTTATCCCCCAGCATGCACATCTCTAAGAAGCAGATGTAGCTAGGCTGAGGGTATTTAAATCTCTTAGAATATTTTCACAGGAAATAGGTTCTGTAGGTTGACATGGCCACCTTGTTCATGTAGTTTGCTGGATTTCACGACAAGCTGAATCTAAGAATTAAGTCTTCCAAGCATATTTGGTGGGATTGATTGGGAAAAAGTTAATCCTCTGGGCCTAGGTGACAAGAGCTGCCTGGGCCTGTCACCTGGGTGCTAGTGTTTCAGACTGTCAGCCTGTGTAGCACAGGTTAGCATTTCCAGAGTCACAAGTGGGCTCAAACATGGAACTGTTTAAAGTTAGCAGCCTGTTTTATAGGGTCAACTGCATGAGCCACTCCACTTTGTATTCCAAAGTATGGCCAGTTGTAGTGGGGAGTCACCTTTCTGCTTTCCCAGCTCTGCAACCATGTTCAAACTTGGTATTGTGCAACCAGGCAGTGGATAGAGGCTCCTGGCTGCTGGCAAATGAGGTTTCTAGAGCTACAGGGTGTAGCTGTCCCTCCCTCCCTCTCACACTAAGCAACCCATTGTTAATATCTGAGCAACCTTTCTTTTTTTGTGGTGCTGGGAAATTCAACCCTGGGGTCTTGCACATGCTACACAAATGCTGTACCCCTAAGCTACATCCCCAGTGCCAGCTTTTAACATTACTCAAATATGAACAAAGCAAACAAGCATAAACAGGTAAAGGGATGACATCAGACCAAACCTCTGAGGAGTAACCCTGGTTCCTCTAACAGGCAAGCCAGGCTACTGAGATACAGAGACCACAGGAAACAGGGCTGGAAATTTCAACTCCAATTGGGAATTTCAAGGCTATTTCTAAACCTTACAACATACTTGGAATGAAATTTTAATTACTGAAGGACTCTTAATTGAAAGTTAAGGGAAGCGTGTAAAAAGAACAGGGTCCTTATGTTGAGAAAGATAAATCCAAAGAGAGGGCAGTTCCATCCAAAACCCATGAAGGCAAGGTTACAGATGGAGACCATTGCCACCACAGCCCGGAGTTACTGTGAATACAGAACAAGGCAAACCAGGGCATAAAGGAGTATTATTGAGGACAGTTTGTTTGGGATGAAGGAAGGGATACAGCTAGTTGGCAACGGCTGTAAAACACTGTGAATGTATTTACTGCCACTTAAATTGTTAGCTGTAAATTTTTGATCATATATATTTTACCACAATAAAAAAAGAAAACATAAGGAAGTACTATTTAAGGCAGACAGTCAAGTGATTAAAAATACTCCATTCCTGAAGCTAATTCAGGCTAAAACGGTGACTGGGCTAAGCACAGATCAATCCTGCACAACAGCCCTGGGCAGGGATTTTGGCCTGGGGTGCACCCTGGACCCCTGGGGAGCTTGAAGCTGAGTGAGCAGCTCTCTCTGCCCTGTCCTTGGGGGTGTGGCAGTTCAGCAGGGGCACTGAGTACAGCCAGGAAGATAGCTGCAATCCCAGAGAGGAGGCAGCCCTTGGCGGGGACATCCCATCTACCAGGGGAGCAGCTGGAGGGCCTCTTTGCCAAACTCTGCTCCAGGGCCTGTCTCTTCCCACGTAGAATGGCACAGAATTCTCTGCTCAAAGGAAATCTACCCAAAGAAGGAGCTGAGTGGGTCTTTATCCATTTATCTCCTTCCCTTAGGGATGCTTTTGGGGAATGGACTAGCTGGGGGGAAAAAATAAAACAAGAAACAAAAACAGAACATGGCTATGTTTTTGTCAACATTTGGAAAAGTGTGTGAAGCGAGTTGCACTTACAATTCCGTTCTGGACGCTGAAACCCAGCTGGTAGCGAAGGTCTGGTCTTCTGATTAATACCGTGGTCACTGGAGGGCACCTCACGATATTCAGCTTGACTCGGGACTGATTCTTTAAGCCCTTAAACAAGAATAGTATACAGTGGATATGGTGACCCCTGAGGCAGGCAGAACAAATAAGAGCAAACAGCATCCAAGGTCGAAGCCGTTCTAGGACGCCTGGGAGTGTGTGCTCCAGTCCTGTGCTCTGGAGGCCTTATCACCCCAGGGGAGGAAACAGTAGGGCTCAAATGGAGCTCTTTCAACCCAGGCAGAGATCAGAGTCAAGTGGGCAGAATCTTCATTTTGGGAAATGGACTGTGTTCAAGGACCCGATGGAAGTGCAACTATGAGAAAAAATGTTACATGGGCTTTCTGGCTTGAAAGATGAAGGATGCACCCTCTGTCTGGTCAGGAGAGAGAGGAGTGGGAAATGGAGTCCCAAGCTCGAGCAGTGACTCCTAACAAAGGACGTCTCATTCATAGCAGGTGCATGGGGACTGTTTTCTCTCCTTTCCCCATCCTCTCAGCTGTTGGAGATTTTTATGGTTTATGGACATTCCCACAGCAATTGGGGCTGCCATTGGTCTCCATCTCCTGGGGAGGGCTTTAGGGTGGGTGCTGAGGGAGATGAGAGGAGGAAAGACACAAAGGTCAGGGTTTCATGACCCTAGACCACACAGCCCTTCCTCTGTTAGAATGGAACGTGGAAGGAAAGCTAGTCTTTGAGGAGGAAAAGGAAAAGGAAAAGGGTCTCAATCTGAGTGGAGCTTCCTCCACCCCACTGTGGTTTAAGGTGAGCTCAGGCTAGACTCTGTCACACTCAGAGCTGTGACAGGCACTCTCCCCTCTGCAGGAGCATCTGCTTTAGACCACCAGCACAGAGCTCCACGTGCCTCCCTCAGGCCCAACCACCCACTTGTCAGCTTCATCCAAGAGAAAGGTGCCAGGCAGATATAATCAACCCTAAAATTATGCCCACCTTTCAGCTCTGCCTGGTTTAAACCTGCCTCACCCAACTCCTGCTTGCTCACGTGTGCATAGATAGGGTGGCCCAAAGCAGGAGCTCCCCAGTATGTTTTAAGTTCTAGTGCACAGAGAAAATTTTTTGCACTTTGGGGTAAACAGAAAACACTGTTGTGGTTGGAGGCCCTGCTGTTCCCCCACCCCCAAGCTTCAGAGCAGAGGTAGGGGAGGTCTGAGCTGGGAGTGGGAAGCTCCTGCTGGACCTGACCCCAGCTTGAGTTGATTAGGAAGCCACTCAAGGTCAGCCACAGTCCCTCTTCTCCAAAGGGCCAGGGTTGAAGGGGAGAAGTGGCTCCTAACAGGCAGTACTTGGGGTGGGTGGGAACCTCTGCACCAGGCAGAGCTAGGAATTCAGGGACAAGGCAGGCTTTACCCATGCCCATGGTGCCCATTAGAGACAGTTCCCCATCAGTTCACAAGGGGACCAGCTTGTTCACTCCACAGGTGAGGTGCAAGGATCAGTCTGGGGAGAAGGATGACATAATCCATGAAATTTCTATAGACAGGGACCATTTGCCTTGTATCCTGTAAATGGAAATATGCAAATTTCATGGCTGCTACAAACATTTTTCTGTGGGAGGTCAAAGCTCATATTCATATTTTGTAGATGAGAATGGATACATGGACACGAAGGGCTACTCCAAGGGCTCCATGAGGTCAGGAACAGAACTGCAGATCCCTGCTCGGGCCTCTACCTACCTCACAAACACCTTCCAGCCAGGAGGTGAAAGTGGGGTTAGGAGAACTTCAGCCCAGGCAGAATGGTGGCAAGGGTGTGACTTGCTACTCCTATACCAGAAGAGAGCCACACATGTTTTGCTTTAGGTCAGTGGGTAGTTAGGGGATCTTGTGCCACTGGTCATCTGGCTTTCTATATCTGACTGACAAGGATATAACCAGTGGATCTCCAGGCCCATGCTAACAGCATCAGTGACACTTGGCCATGTGTTAGGATTTGGGGCTCCACTCCAGACCTACTGAATCAGACTTTGCATTAACAAGACCTCCCATACCTCTGCTCTGGAAGATTGGAGGTGGGGGGACAGCAGGGCCTCCAACTACAGCAGTGTTTTCTGTTCACCCCAAAGTATACATTTAATCTTAAGAACTGGTGTAGACCATGGCAAACACTGGCCTCAATTGTGCCCACGAGACTTAATTTCTTAAAGAGGTGATTAGACCCAAAGATGTCAATTTAGGCCTCATACCTGAGGTCTATATGCTCCATAGAAGCAGGTACTAGCAAGGTTGGGGAAAGGTGGATGTCTGTTCAGCCTGGTCCCTGGGTAGCCATCTCTGGTGTTGAACCAGGTGTGAGCACCCCTTGGATCCTGCTGCACCAAACCCCAGCCCAGTAGTGGAAGCAGATGAGCCATATCAATACCAACCACCTTTCACTGAGCACTGGTTCTTGCCCAGAAATACCTGGAGAGTCACAGGAATTGCCTTATTTAATCTCCCTTTCTGTCTGGCAGCTATCTCAGTTTTATAGAAGAGGAACTTGAGGCTCAGAGATACTAAGTGACTCACCCAAGTTCACACACAGCCAACTTTAACCCAGGTCTGCTTTCAGAACCCAAAGTACTTTCTCCTACATATAAAACTGGAGAGTGTCCTTCATGATTAAACCTTGCTCAACCATGTAGCCAAGGATAGCAAAAGAAAGAAAAAACCCTATGCCCTCAAATCTTATTCCAGTCTTGAATTAGGGCTGTATTTTTAGGTCACTTTCCAAGTTATTCTGGGCTCATGGTCCTCGTAGTCCTTCCCCTGGATTTCCTGTGCCTTTTAAGTGACACCAAGATGGTTCCCTCAATGTATGAATGGGACTCTGTTTCCTCATCTTCAGCTTCTGTTCCCTCAGTGCTCTGAATTGCTGTATCCAGGGGGACATGAGCCTTCCAATGAGTGCCCTTCAGCTTGTGGTGTCCCTGTACCATGTGACTTGGTGTTCATATGCATGCTGCTGTCATCAGTGTGTGCTGGGGGTTTGGGAACATTTTAGGGAAATACACTGGTTAAGAAAATGGTGTTTTCAAAGTGGAGCAATGGAATAAGCCAAGAGTGGTTTTCTCAGGTGGAAAAGACTGCAAAGGATCCGGGTTTTCTGCAAGACAACAGTCCCATCATCCACATCCATGAGGGGCATGGAAGTTGTCTGTTTGCTCCTAGTGGATGGGTGGGCCAGGTGAGGAGGACTGTGGTGGTGTCAGACCTGGGTTCCAGCTGTGCTCTGCCACCAACAGCGGGATCTTGGGTGCGGTGCTCTATCTTTCTGCTGCCTCAGTTTCCTAATTTTCCCAACAAATGGTGAAGCTCACAGAAGGTTCTGCCACTTTCAGTTTCTATGCCTTCACCCCTTTTCCTGTGTGGTTTTCTAAATGCCCCAGGCTGCAACAAAAAATCTCAACCCTTATAATTAAAAACAATCTATTCTCTCACATTAAAATTAGGTTTCTTCTTCAGGGAATTAGGTCTTTTCTTCTTTGGGGCCGGGTATGGTGAAGGGCGGCTTAATGTCATTCATGCATGTATCTCACTGACCACTGACTTAGAAAGTGGCCCATAATTTTTTTTTATGTGCCAAGAAATGTGTTAGGTCCTGGGTAGAATAAGCCATCTCTGGGCCTCCTGGAGATCAGGAAAGGGGCAAGAAACGAGAGGTAAGAAGGCTAAGACGGGAGCCTATTAGAATCATAACCTCAGATAAGCATCGGCCTTAAATGTTTACACTGGGATTAATGAGGATTAAATAAATAAACTGGGATTAAATATTAACCACTGGAATTATTTAGGTGTGCTTGTGTGATACAGAAAATAACAGAACATACTGAAAAGCAGGAGAGTGATCCTATTTTCTTAATGTTACAAAAAAAAAATTCACATTCCTCTGGTGAGTTCTTTCCTTTTATGTGAATTTAAGATGCCTGCTCAGTCCCTCAGTGAAAGAATTTCAAGATTGGGGAAAATGTGCTGCAAGATGAGGCTTAGAGAAATGGCAATTTGAAATAACCAGACCATGCCTTTGCTCTGCTATTCCTAATCAATGTTTCAAGTTGGGTCCCATTAACTTAGATTTCTGAGCTGCCATTTTATTGGAGGTGCCAATTAAATAAACGGTCATTTCATCCCCATGACAACAGTGGAATGGTGCAGTAAATTAAGAAATAGGGTGGGAGAGGAAGGGCAGGGAGGAGGGGAGGAAAGAGAAGCCAGAATGGTTTCTATAGCAACAGGAGAGCAGAACCATGATCCTATAGAAGGAAAGGGAAACGGTGCTCTAGTTTCAAAAAGAACAAAAATCCAGAGGGCAATAGCATGAGCAGAGAAGATGCTAGCCTGCTTCACCTACCAATAATTATGCTTCAGGAATGAATTATAACAGAGAAATAAGAGCCAGGAAAACAGATAGTTTGATATCTGTAACTCCACTCTAGAAATCTATTCTTTCTGTGTCTGGGGGCAGAGGAGGTCAACACACTGCTTTAAACTCCTCTTCCTCAAAGTGTGGTCTGAAGGTAGGCGATATGACCATCCCTGGGAGCTTGTGAAAAAGGCAGAACCCCACTTGAGACCTACCAAATCAAAACTTGCATTTTAACCAGCTTGCTGTGCGACCCACATTAGTTTGAGAAGCACTAGAGTTGCAGCTGCAGAGGGCACCGAGACCTACTGAAATGGGATCACCAAGCACCAAAAGCCCAGATAGTGCCCTGCAGTGGCAATGAAGGGTGGTGAGGGCAGTGCCTTCAGCTGTCAAGGTGCAGGCAAGAAGCGGGTGCTGTCTAGGGAACTAATAAAATAGTAATAAACCCACTTGAAGTCAGTCTGTGTGGTACTGGCAATTCTAGCTGTTATCAGTGATTAGCATTTCCCCCCAGCCGGGCGAGGCCACAGATGGGCCATCTCATTTTCCCATTCAACAAGGTTGTGTGTTCTGGGGCACTGTGCAAGCTCCGTGGAGTCTAACTGGGGCTTCCTGCCCAGTGCTTCTTTGCTGAGCAGAGCCACAAGGCAGCGGTTTTCTTACTCTCCATCTCCAGCAGCTACATCTCTTTCATCGTTGCATGGTCTTTTAATTTTCTGAATCCATGGAGACTCCACTTACAGACATTTAAGTTCAGCTACTCAAACAAACCCTCCCCCCAGGAAGCTGCTTGGGTAGCTGTATTCCCAGAAGCTTCCCTTTCACCTTGCGGCAGGGATCTGTATGACAGAAGCGGAGTCTCCAGGTGGCAGCAGAGGTGCCAAGTCTCACAAGCCCCTCATACAGTCTGTGTCCTTTGGAGACTGGCAGGGAGGGTTAGGACTCACTGGCCATTTGGTGGGCCCTGGGCAAGTGTCTGTGCCTTCGGGGTCTCAGATGACTCACGTGAACCAGGTGTCAGCCATCATCCTTGTGGGAGGTCCTAAGAGGGCCCTCTGCCTGTTGCTGATTCTCCTCATATCCTCAACTGGATAAAGAAAGCTCTCTGGGGCCCTTTTCATAAGGAAAATGATCCCTTTTTAAAGATCCCTTTCTCAAGGGTTCTACCCTTATGACCTAGTTACCTCCTAAAGGGCATACCTTCTAAGGCCATAACATGGAGATTAGGGCTTCAACAAATGCACTTCATGGGACATATGTAGTCTAGAATATCCCTTTCTTCTTGCCCCTCCTTAAACCTTTCCAGACATAAAGTTATTCTTTTTTTCTTCATTTAAAAAAAATTTTTAAATTGTAGATGGACACAACACCTTTATTTTATTTGTTTATTTTTACGCAGTGCTGGGGATCGAACCCAGTGCCACACACATGCTAGGGAAGCACTCTACCACTGAGCCACAACCTAGTCCCCTGCGGGATTGTCCTGAGAATTTCAGTGTTTGGCAGCATCTCTAGTCTCTACCGACTGGATGCCTGTAGCACCTTCCTCCCCCTTATGACAACTGAGACTGTCTCCAGGCCTTCTGGGGTGTGCAACATCATCCTTGGCTGAGGGTCTTGGATCTAGCACTTGAACAAACTACTGGAAAGAGGCTATCCAGTGGCTAAGTGACCATGTTCCATAATGACCATGTGGTCACCTTTCTGTGCCTCAGTTTCCTAACTTGTCCAATGGGTTAAACAAACGTACCTGCCCCACAGAAGGCTGTTGTGAGAGTTCAGTGCATTAATCCATGCACACTCTTTACAACAACAGCACACAACACTTGATCACTGGGGCCTTCAGTCCTGTCATTTCTCCCTGCTAGACCAAGTCCCCAGGTGGAGATTTTGTCTGTGGTGTCTTTGGGTCTCATAGTCCCTTGTGATTCTTGTACATGCAAACAAGGTGTTTAATAAGAAACTTATTCATGGGGAAGAGGGAGATATCAATGTGGATTGATGCTGCCTTCCTAACCCTGGCCACCTGCTGCTTTTCCATGTTACCATGGTAACACCAGATCAGTTCTCACAGGCCAGACTCATGCCTCACCCCCTGATTCTAGCCCACTTTGGAAACAGGGACTTCCAAAGGTCACGGTTCCCTTTTGCTAACAACTTAGGTTTTACTCCCTCAAAGTGAATTTAAATATTGTTGTATAAAATTTTCCCTCCTCTAAATGCTGGCAAATCTTTTACCTCTATGTTGCTAGGATCACTGAAATTATCCTCCACATACATATTGTCATCTAGTATCTTCATTGCTCAGCTCAGCACCTACTAGAGGCCCAATGAAACATGTCTGAATATTCATGTTCAGAGAAGAGTCTCTAATCTTAATCTTTAATGTCTAGTCATGTGCCACATAATGATGTTTTAGTCAATCACAGACTGCGTATATCATGATAGCCCCAAAAGATTATAAAGGAGATGAAAAATTCCTGTTGCCTAATGATATGGTGTCTGTCCTAAGGTTGTAGCACAACTCATTCCTGATGTGTTTGGAGATGCTGGTGTAAACACGCCTACATCAGGGCCAGTCATGTACAAATACAGCACACACTTATGTACAGTAATAATGCCTGATCAATGACTGCAGTACTGGTTCATGCATTTACTATGCTATACTTTTGTCACTGGAGTATACTTACTTAAAAAAAACAAGGTTTATTGTAAAACAGTATGGTATGTGATGCCAATAGCGGCCTCAGAGTTGGTGATTACCACAGCTCTTGTTTGCATCAAGAGGCCAGATCTAGAGATTGGGGCTGTAGGTCAGTGGCAGAGTCCTTGCCTAGCATGTGTGAAGCATTGGGTTTGATCCTCAGTACCACGTAAAAATAAATAAAATAAAGGCATTCTGTCCATCCATAATTACAAAAAAAAATAAAAAAATAAATAAATAAAATAAAGGTTAAAAAAAGGTTACATCTAGCGACTGACCTGGGTTTGTGTAGGTATTCTATGATGTTTGCAAAATGACAAAATTGCCTAATGATGCATTTTTCAGAATTTATCCCTATGATTAAAGGATACAGGGCTATACATTAAAGAAGAGGCAGAATTTATTCATTAAAAGTAGCAAAGTAGCACTGGGGCTGCGTTGTGGCTCAGTTGTAAAGCATTTACCTAGCACGCGTGAGATACTGAGTTCCATCATAAGCACCACATCAAAATAAATAAATATAGGGCAGGGGTTGTGGCTCAGTGGTAGAGTGCTCGCCTAGCACATGTGAGGCGCTGGGTTCGATCCTCAGCACCACATAAAAATAAATAAATAAAATAAAGGTATTGTGCCCAACTACAACTAAAAAAGAAATATTTTAAATAAATAAATAAATAAAATAAACGTGATGTATAAAGGTATTGTGCTCCTCTACAAAAAAAAAAAAAAAAAAAAAAGCAAAAGCACAAAAGCACTGACCCTGGTGGTAAACACTCAACTGCACCCTCTACTCGCACCCCCACCCTCTTAGATGAGGATGTTGGCTTTTGTGTTCTGTTTTTATGCTCAGAAGGACGATTGTAATGACTGCATTAATTCATCCCCTAGAGCTATGTTCTAGCTAATGGTACAGAACTATTTGGGGTTCATAGGAGGAATACTTCCTGTCATGCTGGCCATGCGATCAGCAAGTATCAGTGTTGAAGACTACACATGGATGCTTCATTGTTAAGAAGAAAATCTAATTTCTTTTCCTTAAGTATTCACATTTAATTTTCACTTAAGTAGCTCTTCTTAGCTTTATGTAACGGTATAAGTTCAGGTTGAATGAGAAGTCATTATGTTCATGTATGAAGAGGACTCCATGGACTATAACAGTTTCCTCCTTACAGCAATTAGCCATTAGGCTCTGGGAAAGACACTTGCCTGTGTCAGTGGCTTCAGGTTTGAAGCATTTCTAGGGTCTTCTTTTTTCTTTCTGTGGCAATGGGGGTTGAACCTGGGGGTGCTCTACCACTAAGCTTAATCTCTAGCCCTTTCTGTTTTTATTTATTTTTTATTTTTATTTTATTTTTTATTATGAGACAGTGTATTGCTAAGTTACACAGGCTAGTCTTGAACTTAAGATCCTCCCACCACAGCCTCCCAAGTGGCTCTGGGACTGTAGGTGTGTGCCACCATGCCTGGTTTATCATTCCCATAATTCTTAACAGAGTTGGTAAATCATCTCAAGTACATCTGACTTCACTCTAAGGGACTGTCTGGATTATTGAGCTGAGGCTGCTGAGGCTGAGTCTAGGCATACTGAGAGAGGGTTGTGATTGATTAGTGATGCCTGCAGTGGCTGTTAGTGAGCCAAATATACTATCCCTGATCTAAAAATGACTTGTAAATAGGAGGAGCTTATAAATACTAAATAATGAGATGCCTGAGAACAAGCATATTTTATATATATATATATATATATATATAATTTTGTTTTTAGACCTTTTATTTTTATTTATATGTAGTGCAGAGAATCAAACCCAGTGCCTCGCACAGGCCTGGCAAGTGCACTACTGCTGAGCCCCAGCCCCAGCCCGGAGCACAAGCCTTTTTTGTATGTGCCTTCCTTGGTGCCTGACACTTAGAATACATTTATAAATGTTAATGATTAGACAGCAGTTACACTTCATGTCATTTTGGGTTGATTAACAGAAAAGATGTTTTCCCAGGTCTGGGTACCTTGATAATGCTCTGGCAGGTGGACAGAGGCAGGCCCACCAGGCTGGTGCCATTAATGGACATAATCTGGTCCCCAATGTTCAGCTTCCCCGACTTCTCTGCGGGGCCTCCATGCATCATGTTGGCTATGATCACGGTTGGTAGGATGGATCCCCAGCCAGACTCCACAATCACAACTCCTAGGATTTCTCCTTTCTGCTTCTCTATGAAAACCTGACAGGAGAAAAACACAGAGAAATCCTGAATCATTAACCATGGGAGGTAGTGGTAGAAGTGAAAGCCACTCCACTTCTTGCCTAAAGACAGACCCTAATAAACACACCCACACTCCCTCATGACCTCAGCCCAGGTGAGCTCCTGTCTTCTCTGCATCTCATCACATCCAGAGTCCTTAAGAAACAATTTCACATAGGCCAGTGCTGTTTTTTGTAATTCATACTTGTTCCATATTAGCAATCTGATCTCAGCACACAACCACAGGGCACTAGATTTTTTTTTTTCCTCCTGATACTGGGTATTGAACCCAGGGATGCTGTACCACTGACTGCATCCCTAGCCCTTTTTATTTTATTTTGATACAGGGTCTTGTTAAATTGTCTAGGCTAATTTGGAATCCTCCTGCCTCAGCCTCCTGAGTTGCCTGGGTTATAGGCGTGCACCGACACACTTGGCCTGTCCAACATTTTTTTCAATGTTGTCTCTACTGGCAGGGGAGGAAAGTTGGTCAGTAGGAGCTTTGGTGGCCTATTATGGCTTCTAGAAATGGCTTTTGAATTCTAAGCACAGGTTATCCCATTCCACAATATGTCATAAGTTCTCTCCAACATTTAAGATTCCTGAGTTAAAAATAAATATTCAGAAAAACTTCTCTGCAAGGAGAAAGTTAAAGAAAAAGGAAAAACTGATGTGGGAGTCGTCATAGTTGCAAGCTCAGGAGTGCACACAGAAGAGCATGTCCTGGGCAGGCATAATGTTCTCCTGACCTCTGTGGCAGCAGAGCAGGCAGGAGTTAGAGCTGCACACCTGCAGGATGGGGAGGTTTTCAGAGATGCTGAGAAAAAGTGAGGCGCTTCTTGAAAGCAGCCTGCAGAGTGTGGGTGTGTTTATTAGGGTCTGGAGAGGTCTTCTCTAAGCCGGCACCCTCCCCACTACTGCTGACGCTCACAGTTGGCCCTTTCCCTGAGAACTGCCCTTGGCCAGAAGGGAGACATTCCATCCCCATTATGGGGTGACCTGTTTCCCACTGCCCAAATTCCTATGTTGCCGTCTAATCTCCAGAATCCCCAGGGCATCAAAATGGAGGCAGGGTCTCTACAGAGGGAATGGGGTTAAAGTGTGGTGATTTGGATGGGCTCTAATCCAGTATGACTGGTGTCTTCTTCAGAGGAAATTTGGACACAGACTGTATGGGGAAGATGGGGTGAAGGCATAAGGAAGGGATGGTCATTTATAAGCCAAGGAAAGAGGCCTGGGACAGATCCTTCCTGAGGCCCACAGAAGGAACCAACCCTATCAACACCTCAATCTTGCCCTTTCAGCCTCCAGACCTGAGAAGAGGACACACGTCTTTTGCAGAAGGCACCCAGTCTGTGGGACTTTGCTACAGAAGCATTAACAAACTTTTATATCTCTTGCTCAACCTTGGCCAATGAGCAATAGAGGTCATTTGCTCTAAGGTGGGATAAGTCTGTCCTGTATTCTGTGTCTCAGAGCTTCCCTCAGATTACAAAGAAACTTATGCCAGTGAGACCACACTCTTCCTAGTGCCCCACATCCTGCTCCCACATTCTACTCTTCTGAGTGGAGGTTTGCAATAAACTTGATGAACAACAATCCTCACCTGAGAATCTGCTTCCAGGGAGCTTTACCTGAGATCCCTCATACATTAATGGATTAGAAGATAACTTTCTCATTAAAGCTGCTTGACATTTATGGGATAAAGTCTGAAAGCTTCAGCTGGACTTGCAAGCCCTTCAGTCTGACCTGGACCTTATTTTGGTCTGACCCTCTCTTTCTGGGTCCACCCTCTGTTCAAGCCAAGCCTTTCTGATTCCCTAGACGCATCTGCAGCTTTCTGACATTCTATTTTCCTGTTACTTCAGTTCTGTTTGCTCCTATGTGTTCCAAATAACCTCCAGACCAGCTCAGATGGTTCTGTCTACCTCCAGTTACTCCTGGGGCACTTAGTCTGAAGCAGTGGGGTGCACAGAATCTGTCAGATGAACCTGCAGTCTGTTCTGTTCTGCCAAATGCAGTGGGCTTTGACCAGTGCTTGAAGGAGCACCATAACTGAACTTTGTTGGTGCCCTTATCCAGACTCTCAGATCCTGGACTCTACCCTTATAAAGCTATCTGCCTCTAGAATCCACTAACACTTGGCTTTGGATTCCTAGGAACACAGGATATACTGCGATACCTGTCCACAATAACAATAAGAGCTAGGGGAAGATGGTGGTCAATGGGCAGTGCTGTGGGTGGGTGTCTGATTTAGTAACGAGGTCCATTGGGGTAGAGCTAGAGAGACTGTGAGCCCTTCACAATGTCCTGTCAAACCCACATTCTGCTGCCTTCATTTACACAGCAGGGCTTCCCCGCTCTCCCTGGGGTCCCCACCCAGCTGGCCCGGCCTGGGGAACAGTCTCAGGAAAGTACCTACATCTTTGCAGTTTTCTGACTTGGAGAAGTGGATCAGGTCGTCGTTGTACATGTCCTGGGTGTTGAGCAGATCACTGTACTCCTTCTGGCTGAGGTCTTCGGGGTTAATCCCGTTGGCCCTGAGGAATTCCTGGTATGCCACACTGAATGCCTGCCCTATGGACTGTGCGATCAGCTGGGCCTAGAGTAGCAGCCAGAGGGGAAGATGGTGGTCAATGGGCAGTGCTGTGAGTGGGTGTCTGATGCACTGTCCCCCCCCCCCCCCCCCCGGATTATCATCCTCCTGATTTTAAGGGGTCCTAGACATCAGGTAGGCCAGAAGTTCTACAAAGGATCACCAGTGCCTATCAGGGGCTGTCTTCAAAATTGTTGGGGACATTTCTGATTATGACAATGGTCTTAAGGGAGGACAATGGACAGGAGTCAGAGATGCTGAATATCCTGCCATGCAAGGGACAGTTCCATGCAATAACAGGTTGTTTTGTATCCTGTACAGTTTTCAAATATCATACAGGACATTCATGTATGTGTAACACCTGTTTCTAATCATCTGTGTCCAGGACTCGGGACATAAGAACTCTGGCTTATATGCACAAAGACTTTCATAGTGTAGTTACACTGAATGTTCCAAAAACAGTACTGCTTAAGTGGAAGGAAGATGGTTGTTTTGTCCAAGACTTTAGCAGGAGTAGCTTCATGACTCTGGAAAATTATGCACATCACTAGTGTTTGTGGGATCTGAGCTGCCAATAAATCACATCCCTATTGGCCTGTACCCTCACTGTGGTACATGGTGATTCTGCCTGTGTGTTTATATATGCATACTGTTATTTAGCCTTCAATTCAAAATGTCAAGTAGAAAATGTTTACAACATCACACTGAATACTATGTTCTCTTACTTATAAATCAAGAAGGTATAAGCACATTTACATACTGTGCTATGATTTTTACCTTAGCTTGCTTACCTTTTATTTCGCGTTTCTACTATATATGGCCAAATATTGATTATTTTGTGGAAATTTTTCAAAAGGTTGTGTTGGATACAATAGTCAAGAGCTCTGATCCAGTCCAACCCTGCATTTTCTAGGTGAGGAGACTTGGGACTAGGGACACAAAGGTCATACAGCTCATAGGAGGGGGACTTGGCTTCTATTATTTTTCCTCCTGCTCTGGACTTTGATAACTTTCTATGGTTTGCCAGAGGAAAACAGATGCTTAATTTTTCTAAGTTAGACAATCTGGTGACTTCACATGCCAAAACTCACCAAGGACCTGCTGTAAGCCTGGAAGGGGGTGAGGAATTGCTTTGGCATCAAGAGGTGTGTGTAGATGAATTGAAAAAATATAACCCAGGAATATGACCTGTGGACTTACTGATCATCATTAATGGATGTACCAACTGGCATTTATGGACCTCTTGCCATATGCCAGGCATCAGCCTGAAAATGCACCACCTCTGAGTCACACAGTGGTCCAGAGAGGGTAGCACTGCCATTCTACAGAAAAGGACTCTGAGGTTCAGCAGTGCCCAGCTTGTATTTGGAATCAGGATTCCAACCCAGCCCTGCTAGTGCTGCAGACAATGTGCTCGTCCATGCTGTAGTGGAAGCAAAGGTGTGAGAGTCTCGGGTCCACTCCTATCCTAGCTCCTGCTCCTCTGTTCTTTCCATTTTTTTCTGGATGAACCCTCAAGAAATCTCAAGGACAAGAAACCCCTCCTCCTGAGCTCCAGGCCAGATGGTGGCTGCTGGGTGTCCTTGAGATCTTCAAACCTGGTGAGCAGAGCTCTCTCCACTTTTCCACTCCTCTGCAGAACACAGGGGACTTAAGATCTTAAAGTGTCACTCACAAACTTTCTGACAATCTCCTGAAACCCACTTTGTCCCAGTTTGTATGCCTGGCCTCAGCTTTAAAGAGTGGTAGGAAGAGGCCTTGCAAGCTCCCTACCTCCTCAGCCAGCCTGTCTGGGGGCTGCTTTCTAGAGAACCAGACCAGTAGAGGATAAGTGTCAATAAGTGTCAGTGTTTCCTTGCTGTGTTACAGCCTTCACAGCTCTGGATTCCTGGAGAAAAGGAGGATTGCCTGGGCTCCTAAGTTCTTGGAGGAAGGCAAATTACTGCAGTGAGGTGAACACTTGGCTGGAGAAAAATGGTGCTCTTGGGTAAATTGGGGCTCTCTGCTCCATTCGAGAAACAGACCTTTCCCTCTGTGGCACAGGGAAAAAATGAACAGAGTCCAGGGTGGTGACGTGGCCCTCCGGGTTTGGGCTGTGAGGTTCAAGATCATCATGGGTCTGTGACCCTGTCCTGGAGGGCAGCTTCCCAGGCCTGTGAAGGCCCATGGAGGGTGGGTGCCTGGGGGAAGCCCAGGTGCCATTGCCCTTTAAAGCCTGGCAGCCTTACCAGCTGTTCTAGGGCCAACCTGGAAGAAGGTCAAATGAAAGAATGACCTCTTTTGTAAACTGCCTCTGTTGATCTTATCACCTGGAGATATGAGGATTAGAGACTAGCAGTTCTGGGAGGGAGAAGGAGCTGGGATCCTAGGGACTGGGGCTGAGTGGGTGGGGGGTCTCCTACCTTTGGCTGGGGGTGGTGGGGGAGGATCAGGGATGTGAACTTTCCTATAGCTAAGGGCAGAGCTGTCAACAACACAGAGTTGCCCTCTCCAAGTTCCTTAAACATCACGTGAGACCTATTTGTACCCCTGCAGCTGAAGTCTGATGGAACTGTTCCCCCTCTTCCTCTTTCAAGCTCTCCAGCCATATGGCTGCTTTCCCTTCTCAATCAAACCCAGCAGGCCTGTGCCTCAGGGACTTGGCCCTTGCTCTTTCCTCATTTTCACTTTATTCAGGTCTTTGCTCAAATGTCACCCTCTTAAGAGAGGACTTTACTGATCACCCTACTTAAAACAGCCCAATCCCTGTGCTGCTTGACCCTGAGCTACTTCTCAGCCTTTCCTGTTTTTGAGGTGCTAATTTTGAGTTGCTAAGCCTCACTAAGTTGCTAGGGCTGGCCTCGAACTTGTGATCCTTCTGCTCAGCTTTCTGAGCACTGGGATCACAGGTGTGTCATCATGCCTGGCCCCGCTATAATTTTATACCAAGAATATTTATCTATTTATTTTCTGTGACTTTCAACCCATGTGAGTTACTTGTTGTATATTTTATTCAGCCCCATATCCCTAGCTCTAGTACAGTGCCTGATGCATGGCAGGTGCTTAATAAATATCTGTTTAATGTATGATGAATTAGACTGATTCAGTTCTGAGAAATCGAGAGAATCTGGCCACCCAATTGTTGTCAGGTCACCCAGAGAAAGCTCAAGGGAAGCCACCCTTACATCTTCAGACTCAAAGACATGGCAGATCATCTTGTACTGTCTTTTCCCATCCTGTGATGGGTGGGAGGCCTCGACATTCTCTTGGGAGTTGGAGCGGGGCATCCTCCGGCGGGCCATTAGCACAACGATGTTTCCAATGTCTGCGATGTAGGAAATGGTCCTCAGAGGGTGGTCCATCATTGTCTCCTGGAGGCAAGAGGGGAGAGCCCATAAGTCTAAAGACCTATGAGAAGGTCTGCCATTGGGGTGGGCTTCAGGGCTCATAGCAAAGATCTTGTTGGCAGATTTACAGATACTCCCTCAGGCCTGAGGCATTTCCCTTGACCAACCTAGGGCAAGAAATGCTTTCTGACAGTGAAAAGAAATAAGAAATTTTAAATATTTTATAAACACTAGACTCTCTGGTGAAATGAAAAAGAATGACAAAATCTCAATGACAGGTTTTTCACGCGTGATTTTAAACCAAACTTCTCAAAAGGCTTATCTGTCCCTGTTAATGAAATCTCTGCAGAAAACTCAGGAGAATGACAAACAACGTCCATGTTTTAATTTTTCCTTTGAGCTTTAAGACAATGACAGCCCCACCCAGCAAGAGGCACTAGCAGGGTGCATGGAGCTCAGCAGATGGGGACAGCCACACCATAGGCACAGGCAAAGACTCTGCCTTGCAATGCTGCTAGGCTTCACCCCAGGAAAGGTGGGAGCCAGCTGGTACCTGTGTGTCAGCGTTCAGTACTTTAATTCTCTGGGTAGAAATGAAGAGGTCCACCTCGGTCATTGGCTGAGATTCGCCTTCAGGAGCCTAAAAAGAAAAAAGCACCAAGACCAAGTTTTACCATGGTGTTCTGATCCAGATAAAAGGGGCAAGGTTAGCTCACACACACAGGCACCAAGACACAGTCACCAGAACAGCAATGCAGACTCTGGGGTTTAATTGCCAAAGCTGAAGGTACCACACAGAGGATGGACACATGGACGAGTGTTAGCATCTTTAGGTTCTGGGGGAAAATGTCGAATCCCCTTTGCAGTAGATTTGGCTCTGAGCAATGATGGCAAGTGGCCCATTCTGCAAGGGTTTTGGAGACTGAAGGATAAGGACAGGATAAGAGCAACTAACTCATACCCAATGACCTTGGAGAAGTCAGTTAGAATTTATCCCCGCTTGAGCTGAAGGGGTACAATGTTTAGAGCAGGTACAAATGAAGCCATTTGGATGCAGTTCTGGTAAGAGGGTCTTCATGTTCATATACCACCCAGCCAACAAAGAATCAGCTGCCCACTCCTGAAGCCACCCCAATAAGAAAGAGCCCCAAGGCCTCAATGTCCCAGGAGTAGTTCATAAGCACCTAGAAGCTCCATAATCAAAAAAGCGCAGTCTGGTTCATTTAAGGTTGAACTCTGCACACGTGTGGTTATTAGCGAGTTTTCTTTTTTGCATCCAGCAATCTGACAAATTCCCCAATCAAACATAACTGTAATTGCACAGGCCCAAGTCCCTGCCACATCCCTGCTCCTGAATGGTTGGAACTTCCACACTAGTATAGGATTCATTTAGTGTCTCCAATCTGTTCCCTGTCCTTCCTCTGAAGTGAAATGACTAATGAGCAACAAAAAAACAGCCACTGTAGGCAACTGAGTTTTGAGAAATGCTGGCTTATGGGGCGGTTTGAAAAGAAATCTGAACAAAAACTTGCTGGATGCAGAAAATAAAAACACGAAATAATAAAAAGGCAAAACATAAACAAATGAAAAGAACAGGCATAACACCAAGGCGATGGAGTTGTTTGTACTGCACCTTCTTCCTGCTTTTGGCTAATTTCTGGGCCATCTGCTTAGCATGGAACAAACAGAGACAGGAGAATAGTTAGAATTTGCAGAGACTCAAAGTCAAAAAGGGAGGTGACAAAACTAATACTGATAGTGATATGAAGCACTTCTGTAGGAGGAGGACTAGCTTTAAAAAAAAAAAAATCCCCCTCTAAAGAAAATTGATTTCCTAATTCAGAACTTAGTAGATGGTGGAGGCAGTGGGATGAAAGAAATTTGTTGAGGTGCTGCCTGTGCCTAAATGCAATGGATATTTTCAAAGAACTCATTTTAGTTGTCTTGATTTTCTTTATTGCATGCCTATTTTTCTGTTTCTTGGATTTTATCCTAGATATTTATTTCCATCTACTTTCTTTGGGTTTAATTTGCTAATTTCCCCCATCAGTTTCTTGAGATATAAAGTTATATGGTTTCTCAGACTTTTTCCTTTTCTTACATATAAAGCTATGACTCTCCCTGTATGTACTGCTTTGGCTGTCTCCCACAAATTTTGGTATATTGCAGTTTAAGTTCTGTCCCATTAAACCATTTTGTAATTTCAACTGTGATTTCTTTGAACCTTGAATTACTTAAAATTGTGTTACTAATTTGAATACATTTGGGGTTTAGTTATTATTTTTGTATTTCTAAATTAATTTTACTGGATCAGAGAATATACTGTATAAAATTTCAGTCTTTTGAAATTTGACCCAGCACATGATTGATTTTGGTTAATGTGTCACATGGACTTCAAAATATGGTATTTTATAGTTGTTGGTTAAGATGATGTTTTAAATCTTGTATGTACTTGCTTTTTTTAATGTGTGTGTGTCATTTTATTCTACCCCTTTACTGAGAAAGGTGTGTTAAAATCTCCAGCTGTTACTATGGTTTACCTATGCATCTTTTGCTCTGTCAATGTTTGCATTACCTGTTTTGTAGTTATAAGGTGCATGTATATTTAGGGTGGTATAGTTTCTTATTGAATAGATCCTTTTACTTTTTCCCTCTTTATTTCTAAATACTTCCCCTTTCAATTTATAATATTAATTCATGACTAGCTAAAAATGGATATAATATTTCTCCTTTTGCCCATAGTTGAAAAAAATATGGTGGATAAAACTGGGGCTGAACTGTTTAAAACCAAATCCTGGCTCTGCCACCTACTAGTTCTGCGACTTTGAGCTAGCCACTCAATGTCACCGTGCCTCATTTTCTTCTGTGAAATGGGGATAAAACAGTATCTACTTCATGAGATTTTTTTTTTTGAGGACAGAATGAATATTTGCAAACTCTTTCAACAGTGCACTAAGTACTTTGTGTCTGCAGATGATTATAATTAACCTATGTCAGAGTGCAATTTCTTGGCTCCTGGCTCTTGGCAAGGCTTGATATATATATAGATATAGATACATATATGTATATATATATATATACAGATCTTGTACAAATAATGGTGAGTCAATGGCCAAACTGTGGATGCTGGTTTGGTGATGGGGTGGGGTGGAGGAAAAGCTGAGCTCTCGGACTCCTTGGTACTCACCTGGTGGAAAAGCTCTTCTGCTCAGTAGTATTTCTGTTCCACTAATGTCTAAAGTGTGTTGCCTGTACTAACTCATTTTAGAGAAACTGGATGAGTCAGCCATCCAAACACCAAACAGATACTCTCTGGTGCACTCAGGAAACTAGGAAAATCCCACTCCCGCTCAGCCACCCCACAGCTCTTCCTAGCGTTATAAGCTCAGGGTGAGCTGTCTGCTCTGGAAAACTCTGAAGGCAGCAGCCACACATTACCCTAACTGCTGGCCATTATGGTGATACTATTTCTGTATCTGAAAACTGCCCTAAGCTGATGCTACTCCATGTCACACATATTCCAATGTGGAATGTGAGAGTCCTGCCTGGGATGTTCTGAACTGCCTCAGTTGTAATCTGCAGTATAAATGACAGCAGTGGGATCCAAACATTTGTTCTCTGCCACCTTTCCTGAAGTGAGATGGCAATGATACAGGAATTTCTACTGCTTTTGATACCAGAGATCCAAGAACAGTTGGTCAAAATTCTCTATCTCCAGAGAACCATGCCTTGAAAGAACTCTTTCAAAGGAAAATAGATCACCACCCATGGAAAACCCAAATTGTTTCTTTCCTGAAATGGGTGATAAGAAGATCAAAACCTGAGTTTCATGAAAAGTCTGCAGAAATAATTTTTATGAAGTTAAAAATATTTTATGCACTTGGATATGATAAGTCATTGATTATTCTAAGTGTCCTGCAACAAATTATAATAAAAAAATGGAGTCAGAGCCAGGATGAGAAATTACAGCATCAGAAAGAGGTTCAGGAGAAATATTAAGCCAGCATGCATTATTAAACCAACACTGTCCACATCCATTTTAATCCTCATGTTTTGTGGCTTATGAGCCTGGGCGGTGGCACATAAAACAGACTGTGGAACCATCCACTTACTTCATGTACAATGTGCACTGAGGCTGTTCTGCACTTAAGGTTAGCCACATCCGGCTGCTCCCTGCTGTTCTCTTTTCTTTCTCTAGCCAACATCTACTAAGTACTTAGAAGTGCCAGGAGCCTTCTAAGCATTTCACGTGTAAAAGCTTACAACCATCCTGTGAGGCAGGTGCTATATATCCACACTTTTCAGAAGAGGAAAACGAGGCACAGAGAGGCTAATTAATTGGCCCAACATCACATAACTGTTCTGTGGAGTGGCAGAACAGATTCCAAGCCAGGCAGTCTCACATTACACTCTACACCACTGGTTGTGCAGCCTGGGCAAGCTTCTCTTCTGAGAACTTCTTGGCTTGCCTGTATCATGGAGCTAATAATACCAACCTGTCAGGATTCCCCACCCCCCTCCACCAGATAACGTATACGAAGGGCCTGATGTAAGTGTCAGTATCCTCTTTATTGATCACAGTCCTCTTCAAGCAACATGGGAGACGACATGACTCAGACAAAGCTACAATGATAGAAAATTTAATTCTACAATGAAATCATAAGCTTTGACATTTAAAGGAAATCATAAAAGAATGAGAAAAAATCTGATTTCTGGGACAGGCTGGTAAAGACAGATATAAGAATAATGAATGTTCCTTAAAAAAAGCACACATGCCACAAAATATGTCAACACCACTTGTGATCTGGTTCCATGAGCTTCACAGATACAGCAAGAATGGAGACAGAGACACCACACTGGACATGCACCTGTCTCTCTGGCTCAGTGGGGCTCAGCAGGCCACTCTGTCTTCCTGCTGAAGAGGAGGGAATGAAGTGGAATGAGGGTGGAATGCAGAGAGTGAGGAGAGAAAGGACAGGTGAGCTGGCTGCACAGGTTTCAAGTTCGGTACTCTCCCGACAGTACCAGATGTCCTTACTGTGTTGAGAAGGTGTGAATCTACCCCGGGCCACCTGAGAGACAGGATGTAGGGCAAAGTTCTCTCCAGAAGTTTCTCCAAAACATCTTGCAGAGAGCATGAGTAAGAAAACATTAGCAGGTGACAGACACAGTGATGATGTACTCTGTGTCCAAGTAATTATGGGAACTGCTGGTGAAGCAAAGTGAACACAATCTTGGGGCAGAACCATTTTGGAAAAGATGTTCAGCATGGTATCTTCATACATGCAAACAGCATGCACTGATCACAACCAATACCTTTTCTTCCATCCTCCCCTTCCCAGTCTCTAGTAATCACTATTCTACTTTCAGGTGACTTTTTTTTTTTTTTAAGCTTTCACATAAGAGAGAGACCATGTAGTATTTGTCTTTCTGTGTCTGGCTTATTTCACTTAACATAATGTCCTCTGAATGTACCCATTTTGCTGTAATGACAGGATTTCATTCTTCTTTATGGCTGAATAATACTCCATTTTGTGTGTGTGTGAGTGTGTGTGCACACACACACACACATACACACACCATATTTTATTTATTCACATGTTGATGGCACCAAGGCTGATTCCATATCTTGGCTAATATGAATTATACCACAATAAACGTGAATGTGTAGGTATTTCTTTGGTATGCTGAATTCACTTCCTTTGAATACATACCTTGGAGTGGAATTGCTGGATCATATGGTAGATCTAATTTTAGCATTTTGAGGACCATCCATACTATTCTCCATAATGGCTATATAATTTTACTAATTTACATTCCCACTAACAATGTGTAAGTGTTCCTTTTACCCCCATATCCTTGCCAGCATTTTGTTTTGTTTTTTGATAACAAGCCCTTTTAACTGGGGTGAGATGGTATCCCATTTCAGTTTTGATCTGCATTTCTCTGATGATGAATGATATTGTGATATTGAGCATTTTTTTCATGTATTTGTTGACTGCTTGTATTTCTTCTTTTGAGAAGTATCTATTTATATCATCTGCTGTGTGTGTGTGTGTGTGTGTGGGTGGGTGGGGGAATGAATGAGAATGAATGAATTTGTTACTATATTTCCCAGGCTGGCCTCTTACTCCTGGGCTCAGGCCATCCTCCTACCTCAGTCTCCTGAGCAGCTGGGACTAAGAGTGCACACCATGGTACCTGGCTGCCCATTTTAAAAACTGGATTACTTCTCTTTCTTATTGCTATTTTGAGTTCTTTATATATTGTGTATATTAATCAGATGAATAGCTGGGAAATATAGTCTCACATCCTGTACGTCGTCTCTTCCCTCTGTTGTTTCCTTTGCTGTGCGGAGGCTTTTTAGTTCAATGTAATCTCATTTGTCGATTTTTGCTGAACTTTGGGGTCCTATCCAGAAAATCACTGCCTGTATCAATGTTTTGAAATGTTTCTCCTATGTTTTCTTTTAGTAGTTTTGGAGGTTTGGGTCTTACATCAAGTTCTTTAATACATTCTGAGTCAGTTTTTGCAAAGAGTGAGAGATGTGGGTCAAGGTTTAGTCTTCTGCATGTAAATATTTAATTTTCCCAGCATTATTTATGGAAGAGGCTGTTCTTTCTCCAATGTATATTTCTGGTTCCTTAGTAAAGAACCATTTGGCTG